CACCCCAATAAATGACTTTCTAGGAAGCACTGCCTCCTCAGTACATTTTATTATAGATCCATCAACACTGGAGTGGAAAGTCCCCTTGTAGAAGCTCTGATACTTCACCCTAAACGGGTGTAATCTGATTTGATTTTAAGTGTTTCAGACACTCTCAGAGTTTTCAAAGAAAAGGTCAAGTCTCATTTGCAAGAAACTACTATAAAATATTTACAGATGCAAAATGTTCCCTTCATCAACCATTTGTCTTTGACTTTCCTTCATCTCTCTTAATAAATAATATGCTGTCTTTTTTTTTTTTTTTAATTCTGACAGTTACCTCTGATTTCACAACATCAAACAGATGGGCCCTCTGAATATGCATGCTTGGAGGAGGCCCCGGAAGACTAGTTAACAACCCCAGTTAAAGGGTTCTGCTTAAATAAATTGCCATACAGCCACACAACAGAATGCTATGCAGCTGTTTAAAGTGTGGATGTAGATCTATGTTAATGCTGTTGAAGCAGATCCATGATACATAAAGAAGGAAAACAAGTTACAAAATAGTACGTATAAGTAATTTCTGTAAAAAAAAATATGTAGATAGATATGCAAAGAAAAAAGTATGGATGGCTAGTCACCAAAACATTAGCAAACTTTGTCCTGGATAATGGAATTATGAATGATTTCTATTTTCTTTTATATCCTTGCCTGTGTTTTCTGAATTGTTTTCAATACTAATTTTATTATCAGAAAAATATAATACAACTATTTTGTAAAGAGTTTCCTATTAATAATACTACTTCATGCCTTCATCAGGAGATATCGTGTGGAGAATTCTAACAGTTAGCTGGGAACAAGTCCCTGAGGAGACACAGAAATTTAAAGGAGGTGGAAGAATACTAAAGACAATTTTCTAAATTATATTTCAATTAAAAAACAGTTGCCATTGAGTTGATTCCTACTCATGACCACCCACAGGTGTCAGAGTAGAACTGTGCTCCGTAGGGTTTCCATGGCTAATTTTTTGGAAGTAGATCACCGTGTCTGCCTAGAGGTACCTTGTGAATCTCCAACCTCTTGGTTAGCAGCTAAGTACGCTAAATATTTGCACCACCTAAGGACTCCATATTTCAATTAGGTAGGTACTATTCAGGGATTTATTTGCTTTTCTGCCTCCCCTAAGAGAATATGCTTCCCTAAAGATCAGGGACAATGTCTCATCCATTTTATAGCTCATTACCATGCCTGACACATGATAGGTGCTTAATACAGATTTGCTGAATGAGTAAATGTATGAAAGAACACCAGCCAACCAGGAATCAGTATGTTACTAGCTCTAACCGCAATCTCTCTATCCCGTCCT